ACCAAATATCATACTTGAGTAAAAGTAAAGATACCTTAATAGAAAATGACTCAAGTAAAAGTGAAAGTCACCCAGTAAAATACTACTTGAGTAAAAGTTTAATAGTATTTGGTTTCAAATATACTTAAGTATCGAAAGTAAATGTAATTGCTACAATTGACTTAATATATTCCTTATATTAAGCAAACCAGACGGCACAATTTTCGTTTTTAATTTTTTTTACGGATAGCCAGGTGCACACATTATTTACATACGAAGCATTTGTGTTTAGTGAGTCCGCCAGATCAGAGGCAGTAGAGATGACCAGGGATGTTCAATTGTTAAGTGCGTGAATTGGACCATTTTCCTTTCCTGCTAAGCATTCAAAATGTAATGAGTGCTTTTGGGTGTCAGGGAAATGTATGGGCTAAAAAGTAACTACATTATTTTAACTACATTATTTTCTTTAGGAATGTAGTGAAGTAAAAGTTGTCAAAAATATCAATAGTAAAGGACAGATACCCCAAAAAACTACTTAAGTAGGACTTAAGAGTATTTTTACTTAAGTACTTTACACCACTGGCTGTAACGAATAGGGAGAAATCAGTTGAGCTTTTGAATTGAATTATTGTGGTTAATTGCTTCCTGACTAATGCGTTTTAAATCTGAATAACATTTACAAGTGTCACGATCGTCGGATACAGAGGACCAAGGCGCTGCGTGGAAGGCGAACATACTTTTATTTATTAGAATAATCACCCGAACAAAACAACAAATCGATACGTGACGTCCTCGGTTCAAACACAAACCTACACTGGAACAAGATCCCACATAAAACAATACCAAACGGCTACCTAAGTATGGCTCCCAATCAGAGACAACGAGCTACAGCCGTCTCCGATTGGGAGCCACCCTGGCCAACATAGAAATACAAAACTAGAACAAACAAAGATAACTCACACCCTGGCTCAACATACAAGCGTCCCCAGAGCCAGGGCGTGACAACAAGCTACAAGCAACCGGTTAATCTTCAATGCAGCCACATTAGGAATAATATTTTTTATTCTGTCATGTCCTATTACAGTATGTTGCTGCCTCGTATATTGTGTGTGTGTTGCAGAATGTGATACAATGTCTTATAAGATTGAAGAATAAGCAGATTTTGATTTATTTTCATATTTCAGTTAAACTTTAAGGGCTCATATATTCCACAGGTTTATCAGCTTTATCTGGTCTGAGCTGACCCAGTTTGACCTAAAAACACATAGGCCTACGCTTATGTAAAATTATAGAATTTAAGAGCATCGACATTTACATTTTAGTCATGTAGCAGACACTCTAATTCAGAGCGATTTACGATTTACAGTAAGTGCATTAATCTTAAGATAGCTAGCTGGGACAACCACATCTCAGTCATAGAAAGTACATTTTCCTCAAAGTAGCTATCAGCAAAGTCAGTGCAAGTAGAAAGATTTTTGTATTTTTGGGGGGGGATTATTTAGATACTCTTTGAAGAGGTAGGGTTTCAGACGTTTTCGGAAGATGGGCAAAGGACTGCTGTTCTAGCTTCAGGGGGAAGCTGGTTTCACCATTGGGGTGCCAGGACAGAGAAGAGGGGTGGGAGGGCCAAGAGACCAGAGGTGGCAGAACAGAGTACTCGGGTTGGTGTAGGGTTTGAGCATAGCCTGAAGGTAGTGAGTGGAAGTTCCTCTTGCTGCTCCGTAGGCAAATACCATGGTGTTGTTTGAGTGGTTGCAAGCTTTGACTGGAAGCCAGTGGAGTGTGCGGAGGAGCAGGGAGAGATGGGAGAACTTGGGAAGGTTGAACACTAGGCGGACTGTGGCGTTCTGGATAAGTTGCAGGGGTTTGATGGCAAAAGCAGGGAGCCCAGCCAATGGTGAGTTGCAGTAGTCCAGACGGGAGATGACAAGTGCCTGGATTAGGACCTGCGCCGCTTCCTCAGTGAGGTAGGGTCGTACTCTACGGATGTTGTAGAGCATGAACCTGCAGGAGCGAGTCACTGCTTTGATGTTTGCAGAGAACGACAGGGTGTTGTCCAGGGTCACGCCAAGGTTCTTTGCACTCTGGGAAGGGGACACCATGGAATTGTCAACCGTGATGGAGAGGTCTTGGAGCGGGCAGGCCTTCCCCGGGAGGAAGAGCAGCTCTGTGTTGTTGAGCTTGAGGTGATGGGCTGACATCCAAGCAGAGACATCTGCCAGGCACGCAGAGATATGTGTCTCCACCTGGGTGTCAGAAGGGGGGAAGGAGAATAGTAGTTGAGTGTAATCCGCATAGCAATGATAGGAGAGGATAGGACGGAGCCGAGTGACTTGGTGTATAGAGAGAAGAGGAGAGGGCCTATAACCGAGACCTGGGGGACACCAGTAGTGAGAGCATGTGGTGCAGACAATGATCCTCTCCACATCACCTGGAAGGAGCGACCTGCCAGTAGGACGCAATCCAAGAGTGTGCAGAGCCTGAGACGCCCAGCCCTGAGAGGGTGGAAAGGAGGATCTGATGGTTCATGTTGTCGAAGTCAGAGGATAGATCTAAGAGGATGAAAACACATGAGAGGGAGTCAGCTTTGGCAGTGCGGAGAACCGGTTGGGTGACCTGTCTTGAAGCCTGAATGGTTAGTGTCAAGAAGATTGTTCTGAGAGAGATAACGAGAGTGTTGGTCAGAGACTGCACACTCAAGTGTTTTGGAACGAAAAGAAGGAAGGGATACCGGTATGTAGTTTTTGACGTCAGAGGGGTTGAGTGTTGGTTTCTTGAGGAGGGGAAGTCATTTTGAAGTCCGAGGGGACGCAGCCAGTGGTCAGGGATGATTTGATGAGGAATGAGAGAAGGTCTCCAGAGATGGTCTGGAGAAGGGAGGCGGGGATGGGGTCGAGCGGGCAGGTTATCGGGCGGCCGGACATCACTAGTCACAGGATTACATCTGGCGAGAGAGGGGAGAAAGCGGTCAAGGCGTAGGGGAGTTCTGTGTGAATGGGATCAGTGGGCTCAATAGGCTGAGTGAATGAAGAGCTGATGTCGTCCTTCTTTTCAAAGTGGTTGACAAAGTTGTCCGCAGAGAGGGAGAAGGGAGGGGTAGGAGGTGGATGATTGAAGGAGGAGAAGGTGGCAAAGATTTTCTTAGGGTTAGAGGCAGAATAAGCTTGATAGAAAGTGGCTTTAGCATTGGTTACAGAGGAAGAGAAGGTAGAGAGGAGGGAGTGAAAGGATGATGGGTCCTCTGGAAGTTTTGTTTTCTTCCTTTTTCACTCTGCTGCCCACAGTCCCGGAGCAGGAGAGGAGGGCTGAGATGGCCAGAAGGAAAGAGGACAGTGAGAGTCATAGGATGCGACAAGTTAAACATGTCCTGTATCAGACAGAGATGTTTCATATAATGTAACAGGCAACTCTCAAGTTAGTTTGGCATTTTCATGCGGGGGGGGGGTTCCTGACATGACCTAATTAATGATCCCTCTGGGTTATTTATGGGTGTTCTAAACCAATCCAGTTTACCATATGGACAATATGCAGAGACCCCTGACTGTCAGAGGCGTTCACCAGATGCATGATTCAGGGCGTTCTTCCTTTCTCTGCCCCAGGGGTAGTTGGGTAAATAGGTAGGCCTTCCTAGGTCATACGTCTGGGTTGTTGTACGATCCTATACTATCTTTGTCAACGGACAAAAATCTTTGTAATTGGTTCTTTATCAGATCCAACAGAGTGGATGTGTCAGGAAAGGTCCATCAATAACATAGTAACATAATGCTCTGTGAATTAGGACATAGAAAAGGATAGTAAAATCGGATTACATGTTTTGTATAATCTGTAATGCTGTTGTGCTGGGAAGGTTGTAATCTAAAGCCCTTTGTGGAATTTCCCAAATAGGCTTATCTAGTATCAGGTTCATGTTCATTATGCTCAAACGGGAAAAACAGGGACTCAAACAGGGAAGGGACTACATCAACTTCTCCAATAAGTAACGTTCATTTTCATTTTCAAAACTTTTGCTGCGTTGTGCCCTAATGAACATGACCCAGCCTGAGAGCAACAGCAGAGCATATTGTGTTTTCTCTCTCTCTGCTATGAGAGGGGGAGTGCAGCATGGTAATTGAAGAGCACATGGTTTCTCTGTCAGATGGAGTGACTGCCATCATGTTAGTTCAGGGCCCTGTCATCACGTGCTCTCTGCTCTCCCTCTATCTGCGTCTTACCCAACCTGAACTCAGTGCCCGGAGTCCAGTTAGTGTATTACACAAACACAGGCTACACAGCTGTTTGGAAATGCAAGGTTCATTAGCAGGTAATCATTGATAGTAGGTCTGTAGACCTAGAGCTAAACGTCAAGTTGAAGAGGCATGTCCTTCACATAGTTGTTGAGTTGTTGTGAAATGTATTTGGTTGCCAATGTGAAATAGTTTGAATGTGGGATTTGAGAGGAGTTACTTGAGGCATAGGAAAAGGACACATTCATGTAAACTGGCTGCATTGGAATGACTGACATTATCTGAATCAAATGTTATTCCTTTTCTAGTTGGATCTTGTGACAGTCACACACCTCGGTTCCATCTCTAAACTGGGTTGTGATTTTGAGTCATTAGTATAAAGGAAAGGAATATTTTCCTCTGTCATATGGAAAATGTGTAAATGCTTAACCATATCTCAGAACTCTCAGAATGTCCGTTTATGTAGCTCTCCACTGACACTGAGCCCTGACTGTTTCAGTAACAGAGCCAAACTACAAGGTTTTCATGTTATAACTTTTTTTCTAACGTGGTCTATCAGCTCAACAGCAAGTGCTTGTTTTGCATTTTTCTGTTTTCTTTTTCTGTGCATGTGTTGCATGTGTCTAGTTATAGCGCCACTGAACACACGCCGATTGGCACGTGTGTTTTTCTGTGGCTCATTAGGAAAAATGAGATTTCAGTCTTGGAGGTGTGTTTCCTGACCGATACAACATTCTTGTGTTTTGTTGTCATCACAGAGGAAACTTCACGGTTCCGAAGCTGCTCCCAGAATCCAACATGGCATTTGGAGTTCTAGGTGTGTTCCTGGGTCTACTACTCGAGGTCTCTACACATGGACCCCACAGCGTGCCCCGGACCTCCTGGAAACATGAAGGTACGGTGGTATGAAAAGCGTTTTCCCTCAAATACATTCTCACTGCAGCAGACCTGGATCAAATACCTGTCAAGTATTCAAAAATACTTGAGGACGGTACGCTTAGCTTGGGCGGTACAATAGAACCCATGGAACAGTCCTAAAAAGATTGCAAAACAATCGGTGCAGGAAATCCTAAGACTAGCGTTTTTAAAACCCAACTCGAGAAATTATTAACTGGAGAGATGGTGGTAGGCACCCACCCAGTGCTTAATTTGTAAATCGGGAGGTGCCGGAACAAACAGTGAGCACGAGAGGTGGGGTGACCTGGGGAGTTCTGAAGTACCGGATTGCATAAAAAAATTAATCCTTTAATATAGCATTGCATTAATATTATCGCATTTGCGTAGTGGCATAGAGCAGTAGAGTAGAGGCACTTACAGAAGTTGCACACATGGGGTACATTTTTAGTAGCATAATGTCCGGGGAAATGTTGGCCATTTATAAACGCATTTCATGCAATTCTACGTCATTTTACATGACTGGAGACTTTGGCAGAATCTTTGATAATACCTCACAAATTATCGAAATAACAGGCTACTTTGACACTGACAAACTGAGGATCAGATCATTAAAAACGACCGCATCTTGAATCCATCAATAGCCTAGGCCTAGGTGTGTGGAGACACATTGTAGGCTACAATATGAGGAGGAAATGATAGTCCTAAAAATGCTTTCCAGTTTCACTGACTCACCCAATGATCCGCAGCTCACTCACTGGTGATGGCCGATGCACTCGTGCCAAAAGCCTATCTTTCTCTCTTTTGTAAAACAATATTTGGAAGTTGATCAAATATTTTGGTGGCCAACAGCATAGAGTATAAATAAATGATTAAGTGCAATGCTTGAGAAATGAGAGTTCAGGCTCATGTCTATTGGAGCAGAGAGGGAGAGAGATCATTGAAAGTGAATCTCATTCTAAACTCAGCAAAAAAAGAAACATCCTCTCACTGTCAACTGTGTTTATTTTCAGCTAACTTAACATGTGTAAATATTTGTATGAACATAACAAGATTCAACAACTGAGACATAAACTGAACAAGTTCCACCCACGTGACTAACAGAAATAGAATAATGTTTCCCTGAACAAAGGGGGGGTCAAAATCAAAAGTAATAGTCGGTATCTGGTGTGGCCACCAGCTGCATTAAGTACTGCAGTGCATCTCCTCCTCATGGACTTTACCAGATTTGCCAGTTCTTGCTGTGAGATGTTACCCCACTCTTCCACCAAGGCACCTGCAAGTTCCCAGACATTTCTGGGGGGAATGGCCCTAGCCCTCACCCTCCGATCCAACAAGTCCCAGACGTGCTCAATGGGATTGAGATCCGGGCTCTTCGCTGGCCATGGCATGATATGTTTGCTCTACTGCTACATTGATGTCATAAAGTATATTTGAGTCTTGTAAGTCACAGCTGAGTATATGTCTCCTTTATCATTACCATTAGTGTCCCTGTACTGCCTGTAGGCCCGTTTAAGTATGATCATACGTGGGCTGTCAATGCCAAACCGCTGGTTCTATCTCTGTTTCTCCATACAGTGCTCCTGCGTCCTCCGGCCAGTATTGTGCGGAAAGCACCTTCAGCTCCTCTATGAACTGGCTGTATCCTCTATTGTCCACCGCCCATCCTCCTTGAGAGAACATTCTAGCCTCCATGTTCCCCGCCAAGCTCTCAAAAAACTCCCTCTGATTAAGGACTCTGTCGCTGGCTCTTCCACCATTCAGTTTGACGCCTTGGAAAGAGTTCTCCTGTCTTTAGTTGGTTTGGTCAGGGTGTGAGTTTCTATGTTATATATTCTATGTTTACGTTCTAGTTAGTCTATTTCTATGTTTCAGTTCTAGGTTGTCTGTCTGTTTGGCCGGGTGTGATTCCCAATCAGAGACAGCTGTTGCTCGTTGTCTCTGATTGGGGTTCATACTTAAGTAGCCTGTTTGCCTACCTTAGTTGTGGGATCTTGTTCCGTGTTAGGCTTGTATGTGTTTAGCCTGAGGACTTCACGTTACGTTGTTTCTTGTTTTGTTTATGTTTATTGAGTTTAATAAACATGTACGCTTTTCACGCTGCACCTTGGTCTGACCCGTCTCTCAACGTTCGTGACAGTGTCGGCCTGGCTGCTCTGCCATGGCACTGAACAACCTCACTTCCGTGGTGACTGCCCTGTGTGCAGTAATAATTGTGCAGTCTCTCTTTTGGAGCTCAAGTGACAATTCAGATAGTTCTTGAAGTGCATCACACAAGGCCTAGATTGTTAACAAAGTCATGCAAGGATATGCACATGGCAAGGCCACTATAGCTCTGACGGGTCACGCCGTCGCGGGAGGCATCCTCAGCTGCTATGGTGAAATGTTTGTGAAGAGCCAGGTAATTTTTCCACACACTCTACAGTTCTAAAACTTGATGCCACCCATCTAGTGTCCAAGATCCTGCCGATTTTGCACTCTCTGTGCACTCCCTCAGCTCCTTTTGGTTTTTGGTGAATACGCTATAAAGCGCATATAGCTTGTCCATAAGTCTTTTAAAATGATTGATAGCTCCCATCTCTTTTACCACATTGCCTACTGCGAGCTCAAGCCTGTGTGCCGAGCAGTGCCAAACAGTTATATTAGGGAAGAGGGCCTGGAGCCTTGTTGCTACTCCGCTCTTGCATCCCAGCATGACAGATGCACCATCACACGTTATTCCAATGAGGGTTTTGGAGAGAAAGTCCTCAGTAAACTTTACACCCTCTAATGCAGATAACAGATTACGGACAATTCCCCCAGCAGATAAATCCTCCAGTTCCACAAGATCAACAAATATGTTTGCTGTTACGTCCGTATCTGCCAGCTGAAGTCTGATGTATACAATCAAGGCACTCTTTTTATTCATACTAGTAGCCTCATCGAGCATTAGGCTGATTTTTGGGAGAGCACTGCACTGTTCTTTCAAATAGTTTTTGCTTCATTTCAGATTAAATGCAGTGCATTTGGAAAGTATTCAAACCCTTCCCTTTTTCCACATTTTGTTACGTTAGCCTTATTCTAAAATTGATTAAATAAATAAAAATCCTCATTCTACACACAATACCCCATAATAAAAAAGCAAAAACAGGTTTTTGGAAATGTTTGCACATGTATGAAAAAACACATACCTTATTTACATAAGTATTCAGACCCTTTGCTATGAGACTCGAAATTGAGCTCAGGTGCATCCTGTTTCCATTGATCATCCTTGATGTTTCTACAACTTGATTAGAGTCCACCTGTGGTAAATTCAATTGATTGGACATGATTTGAAAAGGCACACAACTGTCTATATAAGGTCCCACAGTTTACCGTGCATGTCAGAGCAAAAACCAAGCCACGAGGTCGAAGGATTTGACCGTAGAGCTCCGAGACAGGATTGTGTCGAGGCACAGATCTGGGGAAGGGTACCAAAAAATGACTGCAGCATTGAAGGTCCACAAGAACACAGTGGCCTCCATCATTCTTAAATGGAAGAAGTTTGGAACCACCAAGACTCTTCCTAGAGCTGGCCGGCCAGCCAAATAATCGGGGAGAAGGGCCTTGGTCAGGGAGGTGACCAAGAACCCGATGGTCACTGACAGAGCTCCAGAGTTCCTCTGTGGTGATGAGAAACTTCCAGAAGGACAACATCTCTGCAGCCCTCCACCAATCAGGCCTTTATGGTAGAGTGGCCAGACAGAAGCCACTCCTCAGTAAAAGGCACATGACAGCCCGCTTGGAGTTTGCCAAAAGGCAAGTAAAGGACTCTCAAACCATGAGAAACAAGATTCTCTGGTCTGATGAAACCAAGATTGATCTCTTTGGCCTGAATGCAAAGCGTCACGTCGGGAGGAAACCTGGCACCTTCCCTACTGTGAAGCATGGTGGTGGTAGCATCATGCTGTGGGCAGGGACAGGGAGACTAGTCAGGATCGAGGGAAAGATGAACGGAGCAAAGTACAGAGAGATCATTGATGAAACAGGACAACAACCCTAAGCACACAGCGAAGACAATGCAGAAGTGGCTTCGGGACAAATCTTTGAATGTCCTTGAGTGGCCCAGCCAGAGCTCGGACTTGAACCTGATCTAACACTCCCCATCCAACCTGACAGAGCATGAGAGGATCTGCGGAGAAGAATTGGAGAAACTCCCCAAATACAGGTGTGCCAAGCTTGCAGCGTCATACCCAAGAAGACTCGAGGCTCTAATCACTGCCAAAGGTGCTTCAACAAAGTACTGAGTAAAGGATCTGAATACTTACAGTGGGGAAAAAAATGATTTAGTCAGCCCCCAATTGTGCAAGTTCTCCCACTTAAAAAGATGAGAGGCCTGTAACTTTCATCATAGGTACACGTCAACTATGACAGACAAATTGAGAAAAATAAATCCAGAAAATCACATTGTAGGATTTTTAATGAATTTATTTGCAAATTATGGTGGAAAATAAGTATTTGGTCACCTACAAACAAGCAAGATTTCTGGCTCTCACAGACCTGTAACTTCTTCTTTAAGAGGCTCCTCTGTCCTCCACTCGTTACCTGTATTAATGGCACCTGTTTGAACTTATTATCAGTATAAAAGACACCTGTCCACAACCTCAAACAGTCACACTCCAAACTCCACTATGGCCAAGACCAAAGAGCTGTCAAAGGACACCAGAAACAAAATTGTAGACCTGCACCAGGCTGGGAAGACTGAATCTGCAATAGGTAAGCAGCTTGGTTTGAAGAAATCAACTGTGGGAGCAATTATTAGGAAATGGAAGACATACAAGACCACTGATAATCTCTCTCGATCTGGGGCTCCACGCAAGATCTCACCCCGTGGGGTCAAAATGATCACAAGAACGGTGAGCAAAAATCCCAGAACCACACAGGGGGACCTAGTGAATGACCTGCAGAGAGCTGGGACCAAAGTAACAAAGCCTACCATCAGTAACACACATTACATTTGACATTTTAGTCATTTAGCAGACGCTCTTATCCAGAGCGACTTACAGGAGCAATTAGGGTTAAGTGCCTTGCTCAAGGGCACATTTACGTCATTTAGCAGACGCTCTTATCCAGAGCGACTTACAAATTGGTGCATTCACCCTATAGCCAGTGGGATAACCACTTTCCAAATTTTTTAAATTCCTCAAAGAAAATTTTTATATTTAAAAAAAAAAAAAAAAAAAAAAACCTTTTTTTTTTTTTTTTTTTTTTTTTTTGGGGGGGGGTAGAAGGATTACTTTATCCTATCCGAGGTATTCCTTAAAGAGGTGGGGTTTCAAATGTCTCCGGAAGGTGGTGAGTGACTCCGCTGTCCTGGCGTCGTGAGGGAGCTTGTTCCACCATTGGGGTGCCAGAGCAGCGAACAGTTTTGACTGGGCTGAGCGGGAACTATGCTTCCGCAGAGGAAGGGGAGCCAGCAGGCCAGAGGTGGATGAACGCAATGCCCTCGTTTGGGTGTAGGGATTGATCAGAGCCTGAAGGTACGGAGGTGGCGTTCCCCTCACTGCTCCATAGGCAAGCACCATGGTCTTGTAACGGATGCGAGCTTCAACTGGAAGCCAGTGGAGTGTGCGGAGGAGGGGGGTGACGTGAGAGAACTTGGGAAGGTTGAACACCAGACGGGCTACGCCGCCAGGGACTCAAATCCTGCAGTGCCAGACGTGTCCCCCTGCTTAAGCCAGTACATGTCCAGGCCCGTCTGAAGTTTGCTAGAGTGCATTTGGATGATCCATAATTTGCAAATAAATTCATTAAAAATCCTACAATGTGATTTTCTGGATTTTTTTTTCTCATTTTGAACTTGCACAATTGGTGGCTGACTAAATACTTTTTTCCCCCACTGTATACAACAGATTGTTACTTATCACTGTGCTTAATGTAATAGCAGAACCAGATTATAATGGTGCTGGAGGGGATAGCTGCTGTTTTACGGGCTCCCAACCATCTGTGCTATTTTGTTTGTTTTTTCGCATAGTTTGTAACTTTCAAGTTCCTTGGCGTCCACATCACCAAAAAACTATCATGGTCCAAACACACCAAGACAGTCGTGAAGAGGGCACAACAACACCTTTTCCCCCTCAGGAGACTGAAAAGATTTGGCACTGGTCCCAAGATCCTCAAAGAGTTCTACAGCTGCACCATCAAGAGCATTCTGACCGGTTGCATCACCCCTGGTATGGCAACTGCTCGGCGTCTGACCGTGAGGCACTACAGAGGGTAGTGCGTACGGCCCAGTACAACACTGGGGCCAAGCTTCCTGACATCCAGAACCTATATACTAGGCGGTGTCAAAGGAAGGCCCAAAGAATTGTCAAAGACTCCAGTCACCCAAGTCATAGACTGTTCTCTCTGCTACCGCACGGCAAGCGGTACCGGAGCGCCAAGTCTAGAACCAAAAGGCTCCTTAACAGCTTCTACCCCCAAACCATAAGACTGCTGAACAATTAATCAAATGGCCACCCGGACTATTTACATTGACACCCCCCCCCCCTGGATTGCAGTTGAGATTCAATTAAAAGTACATGGTGCAAGTGACCAATGCCGTTCCAGAGTCTGCACAGATTATTACAGCAATTGTGAATGTCTCCACAGACCTGCGACATACATATGCATGCTATCTTGAACATGCACGCTTTATGATTGCATAAGCCATTTATAGTTACAATAATTTCAAAATGTGGCCATGCGTTACTCATTTTAAGGTTGAATGTTACATTAGTTTGTAAGATAGCCTTAACGTTTTGCTATTTGCTATATTACAAAAGTAATATTGAATCGTGTTTGGTTGACAACACAACCAAATATCAACATTTAAAGGTCCAATGCAGCTGTTCTTATCAATATCAAATAATTTCTGGGTAACAATTAAGTACCTTATTGTGATTGTTTTAAATTAAAATGGTCAAAAGACGCAAAAATTGCTTCTTAGCAAAGGGCCATTTCTCAATCAATAATTTTTCTAGGACTGTCTGGGAGTGGTTTGAGTGGGGAAGGGAAAACTAGCTGTTATTGGCAATAGGGAAATCATGAGTTGATTATATTCAGTAACTATGTGAAATTGCTTGGCATTACTTGTTACCCAACTCAATCATGGGTATTGGCATTGGATGATGTTTATAATGTGTTTTTTTTTTTTATCAACAGAGCTCAAATTTGTGGAATTTTCTGAGCCGGGAATCTTCAACTATTCCACTCTGTTGCTGAGTGAGGATAAGGATGTGCTCTACGTTGGCTCGAGGGAGGCCATCTTTGAACTCAGCATGACCAATGTGTCAATCAAGAACAACAAGGTATAAACATGTATCATTTTAAAAGGTCTTAACTTGAAAGGTTGTCTTTGAACATTTTAATAATATTTTAATGCCTCTGCAGGTTCAATGGAAGGTCCCAGAAACCCATATGACGATGTGCATCTTAAAAGGAAAATCTAAAGAGGTACGCCTGCTATTCCATCAAAGTATGACTGACTTTTTATCACTGTGAAAGCTGGCATGATTTGTCATACTGTTATCTCTGGCAGCCAAGTTTAATTGTGTCTTTGTGTTGTGTTTTACAGACTGACTGTCTAAACTACATCCGGGTGTTACAAGTGTTGGATGACAACAGACTGTATGTCTGTGGGACACATGCTTTTCAGCCGGTCTGTCACTACCTGGTAAGTGTCTTAGCTATTAGGAATTTTCAATTCAATTTCTTCTTAAATGTATTTCAAGTCAAGGGTAGAAAAAAAATATGTCAATATGCCTTGCCTATTGCTGTTTTGGTTAGTTCTTATTATACTATTTCACTGTAGAGCTCCCAGTCCTGCTCAACCTGCCTCAGATAGCTCCTTTGTCCCACCCCCCATACACACAGAGACCGGCTCAATCGGTGCCTCCAGTGATGCTATCTCTTTCATTGTTAACCAACGCTTAGGTTTACCTCCACTGTACTCATATCCTTCCATATCCTTGTCTGTACATAATGCCCTGAATCTATTCTACAACGCCCGGAAATCTGCCCCTTTTATTCTCTGTACCCAACACACTAGAAGAGCAGTTCTTAAAGCCTTTAGCCATATCCTTATTCTATTCCTCCTCTGTTCCTCTGGTGATGTAGAGGTTAACCCAGGCCCTGTAGCCCCCAGTATCACTCCTACTCCCCAGGCGCTATCATTTGTTGACTTCTGTGGAATGAGGTCAAAATCCATCCAGGATACCCAGGCCAGGTCAATTAGAAAGGCCTGCTCGCTAAAGTATTTTAGGGAGCGTTTGACAGTGATGAGGGGTTTGACAGCGGACCCATTACGGACGCAGGCAATGAGGCAGTGATCGCTGAGATCCTGGTTGAAGACAGCGGAGGTGTATTTAGAGGGTAAATTAGTCAGGATGATATCTATGAGGGTGCCCATGTTTACGGATTTAGGGTTGTACCTGGTAGGTTTCTTGATAATTTGTGTGAGATTGAGGGCATCTAGTTTAGATTGTAGGACGGCCGGGGTGTTAAGCATATCCCAGTTTAGGTCACCAAGCAGTACGAACTCTGAGGATAGATGGGGGGCAAGCAATTCACATATGGTGTCCAGGGCACAACTGGGGGCTGAGGGGGGTCTGTAGCAAGTGGCAACAGTGAGAGACTTATTTCTGGAAAGGTGGATTTTTAGAAGTAGAAGCTCAAACTGTTTGGGCACAGACCTGGATAGTATGATAGAGCTCTGCAGGCTATCTCTACAGTAGATTCCAACTCCGCCCCCTTTGGCAGTTCTATCTAGACGGAAAATGCTGTAGTTGGGGATGGACATTTCTGAATTTTTGGTGGCCTTCCTAAGCCAGAATTCAGACACTGCTAGAACATCAGGGTTGGTGGAGTGTGCTAACGCAGTGAATAACTCAAACTTAGGGAGGAGGCTTCTGATGTTAACATGCAAGAAACCAAGGCTTTTACCGTTGTTCTTTAAAAGTGCTTTCCTCTCCATCGTAAATAAGCATGCCCCATTCAAAAAATTCAGAACTAAGAACAGATATAGCTTGGTTCACCCCTGACTTAACTGCCCTTGACCAGCACAAAAACATCCTGTGGCGTACTGCATTAGCAATGAGCTTCAATGCCATACTACACTCCTTCCGTAGCCTTCAACTGCTCTTAAACGCTAGTAAAACTAAATGCATGCTCTTCAATCGAATGCTGCTTGCACCCACCCGCCCGACTAGATTCACTACTCTCGGCGGGTCTGACTTAGAATATGTGGACAACTACAAATGCCTAGGTGTCTGGTTAGACCATAAACTCTCCTTCCAGACTCACATTAAGCATCTCCAATTAAAAGTTAAATCTAGGCCTCCTATTTCACAACAAAGCCTCTTTCACTCATGCTGCCAAACATGCCCTCGTAAAACGGACTATCCTACCTATCCTTGACTTTGGCGATATCATTTACAAAATAGCTTCCAACACTACTCAGCAAATTGGATGTAGTCTATCACAGTGCCATCCGTTGTGTCATCAAAGCCCCATATACTACCCACCATTGTGACCTGTACGCTCTCGTTGGCTGGCCCTCACTACATATTCGTCGCCAAACCCACTGGCTCCAAGTCATCTATAAATCACTGCTAGGCAAATCCCCGCCTTATCTTAGCTCATTGGTCACCATAGCAGCACCCACCCGTAGTCTGCGCTCCAGCAGGTATATCTCACTGGTCATTCCCAAAGCCAACACCTCCTTTGGCCGCCATTCCTTCCAGTTCTCTGCTGCCAATGACTGGAACGAATTGCAAAAATCTCTGAAGCTAGAGACTCTTATCTCCCTCACTAACTTTAAGCATCAGTTGTCAGAGCACCTTACCGATCACTGCACCTGTACACAGCCCATCTGAAATTAGCCCACCCAACTACCTCATCCCTATATTGTTATTTATTTTGCTCTTTTGCACCCCAGTATCTCTATTTGCACATAATCTCTTGCACATCTAGCATTCCAGTGTTAATACTAATTGTAATTATTTTGCACTATAGCCTATTTATTGCCTTACCTCCATAACTTGCTACATTTGCACACACTGTATATATATTTATTTCTGTTGTATTTTTTGACTTTGTTTTTTTACCCCATATGTAACTCTGTGTTGTTGTTTTTAAATCGCACTGCTTTGCTTTGTCTTGGCCAGGTCGCAGTCGTAAATGAGAACTTGTTCTCAACTGGCTTACCTGGTTAAATAAAGGTGAAATAAAATAAAAAATAATAGACTAAACTTTGTTGTGCCGGACGCTACACAGTGTGAGTAGTAATAATAACTGCATCATAATCATTCATCATTAATCCTAATATGTGCTCTCAGTCCCTAAAGGATTTCAGTCTGGAGGGTCCATCGGAGGACGGGAGAGGGAAGTGTTCTTTTGACCCATCTCAGAGTTTCACTACGGTCATGGTTGGTGAGTTGACCACCATTTTATAAACTGCTTTTTTGGTACACAGCCTAAAACGCACAATAATCCTAATTATTATATTTTCTGAAGCGTTTAGCCGTCAAACAAACCTGGTTTAGAGAAAAATACTTAATGAATCTTATGTCTTAATTTCAGTTTTATTTTTCTTGCAGATGGAGAACTTTACTCTGGAACATCATATAACTTCCTAGGAAGTGAACCGATCATCTCCAGATATTCTCTTTCACAAAGTCTGTTACGAACAGAGTATTCAACATCTTGGCTCAATGGTAAGGATGATGTGACACCTGGTCCTCAAAAAATCGTATTTCATTGTTACGACGCTGTAACAGTGTTACACAGTTACTACACTTCATAAGTGGCATCAAAGATCCTCTAAAAAGTAACAGTTGATCACCCTTCACGTTTTCCTCCGTTCAGTACATATATATATTTTACTGACCACTCATATCTCTCCCTCCACCCCACAGAGCCCAGTTTTGTTTTTGCTGATGTCATCCGAGAGGGGAAGAACAGTGCAGATGGCGAGGACGATAAGATCTACTACTTCTTTACCGAGGTGTCTGTGGAGTACGAGTTCTTTGGCAAGCTTCTCATCCCCAGGATAGCACGTGTCTGTAAGGTCAGGACACGTCAGCGGAGTGGCTAACCATCTGCAACTGGCACCACCACCATGCTCTCTCTCTCTCTCTCTCTCGCTCTCTCTCGCTCGTCCTCGCTCTCTCGTCCTCGCTCTCTCGCTGTGTGTCAATATTAGTTCACTGGTCAATGTGTCCTGTTTTAACTAAACATGCTTTGGATGAATGCATCTGCTAATTGGCATATATTATATATCAAACTGCCTCCTCTCTCTACAGGGTGATCTAGGTGGCCAGCGGACGCTACAGAAGAAATGGACCAGTTTCCTGAAGGCCAAACTGGTGTGTTCCATGCCAGAACTAAACTTTGTCTTCAATGTGGTCCATGACGTGTTCATACTGAAGGCTCCTGACTGGAGAGAGACAGTCATCTATGGCGTCTTCACATCCCAGTGGTGAGTTAGTTAGCCTTAGTGGGATCTTGGTAACACTGTAATAATGCTTGTAACACCTTTTCTATTAATAAAGTTGTTCCATAGTAATTTAGTAATAACCCAAACCATATGTTTACAGTGGCGTTACTAGAGAAATTACAATGCAAAGTGCTACCGGATCTCATCATGGCAATGAATAACGCCCACCTGTGGATAGGTTCTCTTTCAATGATTAGTTTCGTTATCTTAGTGGGATTCACAGAATCTCTAAGCAGCTCGATGAACCAATCACACACGTCTGTCGGAGAGCCACTAAAGAGCTACTGTAGAGCCACTCGTCCGCCCACTGATCATTCTCACCTCTCTCCCTCACAGAAGAGTTCTACTCTAGCTCTCATCAGCATGACTTGATCTGTTTTCCTGTTCAACTATTCACAGGTGTGCTGCGAGGTTACGCCGCCGAGTGCAGGTTTTTCAGCTCTCGTCTTTTGTATTGGGTGACTTTACCGGAAGGAAAGTTTCCGCTTCCAGTAAGAATCAGCTATTCCGCTTTTCTTCCTTTTGTCTCCTGTGGTGGCTAGCATCACACGGCTAGCTACTGAGACTTGGCTAACTTAGCTGCAAGGCTTAGATAGCAGGATAGCTAGCCTTGCAGCGAGCTAGCCATGTTAACTAGTTTTTCTACCTGGAAGGGTGAAATTACTAGTTTGCTCTCTTGTTTAGCTCAACCCACTGCGTGTTGCGTTGACTAGACCGACTGTCCTGTATTCACTGCGTATCGCAAGACCAACATAGTGGTAGCTTCCTTTGGCTAACGTACTAACTAGCTAGGCTACTAGCCCATGAGGTGAACACTAGCTAGGTTCACATTGTTAAAAGATTAGCTTCTTCAGCTAGCACTGTGCTAACTACCTAGGCTATTAGCCCACATGGCGAATGCTAGTTACGTTTCACTTTATCGAATTAGCTGTTTTTTGGAGCCACGGAGCTTGCTAGCTCAGCCCAAGGCGTACCGAGCCAGGCCCTGGCCCCTGCCCCAGCACCAGCATATCAGAGTACATGCGGGGCAACCATATCAGGCAAGGACACGCACCTGCTGTGTGTCGTCAGCTTGAGTCTCGAACTAGCAACGTTTGATGACCCCCAGTTATGTGTCCATTGTAGGGATTATCCTACTTTTCAAGGCACAGCCTACGAATACCTTGCTGTCCCATTCGGGCTAGCGTTAGCTCCCCGAACTTTCAGCAAGTGTGTAGAGGCAGCCCTCACACCCCTGAGAAGCAAGGGACTGAGAGTCTCTGCCTACATAGACGATTACCTGCTTTGCTCACCATCGCCGGGAGCAAGTGGTACGAGACACAACTTCCCTTGTAACCCACCTCTCCGAGCTAGGGTTCAATATCAATCAGAAAGAGCTGTTTGGTGCCAACACAGAGAATAGAATCCAGCATTACGCCTAGGTACTCTATCTTTTATCAGGCAGCACTCTCAGGCGACCGCATCGCGTCATTCTGACAGTGTCTCCCTGTTCCATGGGGTGCTTGGCCACGTATACGATGTGCCTCAGAGTGCTGGGGTTGATGGCGTCCACCATCTCAGTAGTACCTCTTGGCCTACTGAGGATGAGAGACTTCCGGCACTGGATGTTTGCACAGCGCTGTGTACAAGGCGTCACGTCAATTGTCAGATAGAGGTGACCTTCACATGTCTATCGGCTCTGCATCACTGGAAGAGCCACTTGATCTTCGTTCTTGGCACTCCCCTAAGGCTAGTGGCAACGAGGAAAGTAGTGACGATAGACACGTCACTCACGGGAATACAATAAACTCTGCATTGCTCATATAAATTACCTTGAATTGCTGACAGTGTTTCTTGCTCTGAGACACTTTCGACCCTCCCTTCGGATTTGTCACGTCTAGATCAGAAAGGACAAAATGACTGTTCTCCCTCTTATCAGTCAACGCAACTCATGTCCCAGGTGTAATGAACGTAGGAGCGGACTTATTGTCCTTAGGGAATCCCCATCAAAGGGAATGTAGACTCCATCCCCAAGTGGCAAAACCGATCTGGGAGAGATACGGCCAAGCATCTGTAGATCTCTTCGCATCACAAGAAAATGTGCACTGCTCGTTGTTCTTCGCACCACTGGGGGTGGATGCGCTAGCACACCCTTGGCTGAGGGTATTGCTTTACGCTTTTCATCCCCTCAGCCACATAGTCCCTACTCTAGCAACTCCTGTTACGCAGGGATCTGCTGACCTGAAGGAACATAGAGATGTTCCACCCTCACCCGGACACCATGGCCCTCTGGGCCGGCCCATGAGAGATTATATCTGGATGTGACAGACCTGCCTCTCTGTGTCATTGAGACTATCCAGAGTGCTTGGGATCCTTCTACATGCTCAATGTACGGAAACAAGTCGTTGGTTTTTGAGAAGTGGTGTGACCAAAAAAACACAATTCCTTGCTCTGTATCCCGGGTTTTATGCTTTCTGCAGGATCTTTTGGGGAGAGGGAAGGCTTTCTCCACTGTTGAAGTCTATCTAGCCGCTCAAATAGACTTCGACAATAACACTTGATCACTAACATTTTGAAGCTGAGCAATTAGCTCGTACTCACTACCGAGTTCCAAACTGCCTCTTGAAGCAACGTCAGCACAATAACTGTTCGTCGGGAGCTTCATGAAATGGGTTTCCATGGCCGAGCAGCCTCACACAAGCCTAAGATCACCATGCGCCAAGCGTTGGCTGGAGTGGTGTAAAGCTCACAACCATTGGACTCTGGAGCAGTGGAAATGCGTTCTCTGGATTGATTAATCACACTTCACCATCTGGTGAATCTGGGTTTGGCAGATGCCAGGAGAACACTACCTGCCCCAATGTATAGTGCCAACGGTAAAGTTTGGTGGAGGAGGAATAATGGTCTGGGGCTGTTTTTCATGGTTCGGCTAGGTCCCTTAGTTCCAGTGAAGGGAAATTAACGCTACAGCATACAATGACATTCTAGATGATTTTGTGCTTCCAACTTTGTGGCAACAGTTTGGGGACGGCCCTTTCCTGTTTCAGCATGACAATGCCCCCGTGCACAAAGCGAGGTCCATACAGAAATTGTTTGTCGAGATTGGTGTGGAAGAACATGACTGGCCTGCACAGAGCCCTGACCTCAACCCCATCGAACAGCTTTGGGATGAATTGGAATGCTGACTGCGAGCGAGGCTTAATCGCCCAACATCAGTGCCCGACCTCACTAATCCTCTTGTGGCTGAATGGAAGCAAGTCCCCGCAGCAATGTTCCAACATCTAGTGGAAAGCCTTCCCAGAGGAGTGGAGGCTGTTATAGCAGCAAAAGGGGGACCAACTCCATATTAATGCCCATCATTTTGGAATGAGATGTTCGACGAGCAGGTGTCCACATACTTTTGGTCGTGTATTTTACTCATATCAGAGAACCGGCGTTATGCAAGTAACCTTATGTTTTTGTGACATTGGCTCTGTCCCTCTCCTCTTCAGGAGTAATGTAGGCCTGTCTGCGGTGTGTGCCTATAACATGTCATCAGTAGATGAGGTCTTCTCTAAGGGGAAGTACATGCAGAAAGCCACAGTGGAACAGTCACACACCAAGTGGGTGAGGTACAACGGTATCACCCCCACCCCTCGCCCAGGAGCTGTAAGTGTCACCTGCTGAAATTACTTTCTAAATATTACTTTTTTTACCTCCAATCTATAAAACACAAACCACATATAAAATCCAAAGCTTTTCTTTGAAATATAGACTGTCCCACTTTTTTTATTTTTTATTGTATGTTTTGTTTCCATTTACCCTAATTTTATTTGAATCAGATTGTGTCTTCTAGTTCAACTGCGTTGAGTTGTATTCAGACCATTGTGTCATTCATAGCATCATCCTTCTCCCTCCCATCCACCTCTAGTGCATCAACAACCATAACCGTCTCCAGAACATCAACAACTCTCTCCACCTGCCTGATAAGACACTACAGTTTGTAAAGGACCATCCTCTACTGGAGGACCCGGTCCTCCCCATCGGCAACAGGCCCAAACTCATCACCAAGGATGTCAACTACACCCAGATCGCCGTGGAGAGGGTACAGGCCCTGGACAACAATGTGTATGATGTCATATTCACTGGGACAGGTAGGAACAAGGCTCTGGCAGCTGGCTGACTGTTAGAGGGTGATAGTGTTGTGTAAAGTGCCTCTGGGTTACACTTTATTTGGATAGGCCCAAGTAGATTGTTTGTAGATGTTCTGTAGATGTTTAATAACTGTCAACATTTCAACTAACTATCCACTAACCCTTATCCTAAACATAACCGTAACCTTAGCAAGGTAGTTTGTTGATAGGATGACTATCTGTAGATCATCTATATGGGACTATCCAAATAAAGTGTGACCTGCTTCTGTGTTGGTGATACTATGATCAACTCATGTGGTCTCAGGTCCCAGATCTTTGTGTGCTGTATTGCCAAATCCTATGGTTGTTGTTGTTTGGCCATAGGAGTTGGCTATACAACACAAACAGATCTGGGACCAGGCTAGTCTCAGGTCCTGCTTATAACAGAAAGGTAGTGTTTCAGTTCTTGACCTCTATTTAGTGTCTGTGGATAGATATGGTGTTAACAGCACTTCATCTGTTTTACCCTCTCTAGATAAAGGAGTCCTGCACAAATCAGTGTTGTATGAAGGAGAGGTCCATACAGTGGAAGAGATCCAGCTACTCCACAACTCTGAGCCTATCAAGACCTTGCTTCTGTCATCACAAGGGGTAGGTGAAATATGGAAGATAATTCCTCTGTTTTACACGGAAAGCCAGTTATCATCTGCTGTGACGATAACACATCCTGGATATAAAATAGACAAGACAAGCTAAGCTGTCTTTTTCAAGGTTTCTTGCAATGTCAGAGAACCTAACCACTTACTTTCATGTCTATGTAAAGCTGTTGTTCAACTCGACAGTAGAAAGGGGGACGTTTTCCGGCCAAAGAGACAGCAGGTCTGCTCTGAAGTTAAAACCACAACTTCTTCATTTCAGTGAATTAATCATGATTAGTCTTAGCATTGTTTCCTCTATGCTCTGGTTGCATGCCAGATTCCAGTTCTGCAATTTCTAACCATTTTTGCAGACACTAGCCTAGAAAATGCTGTTCCTCGTCGTATGTGTCGACTTTGAAGGTGTATGTTAACCTTTAGTGTGTGCGTGTCAGGGTTTCCGTTAGCCGGCAATTGCCTGCTTTTGGCCCAAAATCCTTGTAACGTGGTTAATCATGAAAATCTGAATTAAAATATAAAAAATCTCAAAGTTAAAAGTCAACTAATGCGAGAACACCAGCCTCTGCCATATGGACACATTGATACACTGTGATCTATTGGCAGCTAAAGAAATTAGCGCATGGAACTCATAGCCAATAGGCCAATGCAGCAGTAGGCCTGCAACTTCCATTCCTCTTTCACAATGAGGATTGGTGATTATCGAGGGGGAGATTGTTGGAAAGATTTTTTTTAAATTGCTTTCTGTGAGGGACTATAGTTTTAAAAGGGCAAACTATTCACATAACGAAACAATGAATGCGCAAGAATTGGCGGGAGACAGCTGAGCCATTCTGGAGAGATACGCCTATATCTTTGCCACACACCCCTCCCCTTCTAGTCTCAACCTTTTTTATTGTTCTCAAGACACATTATCGTCACACATATTTTTTTATGCTTTTCACTGACATCCGCAACTCAATAAATCAGCGAGGCATGTTGCCACGCGCGCTGCTCAAATTGAGGGCTTGTCAAATAGGCAAAGGCCTACGAGCTTGTGATTTGAAACATTCCACAGTTGTTCTTTAAAATAAGCTAATGATCCTCAAGTCCTCTGTGGCCAAGTCATGCTTTCTGGTGAAATATTTTATTTATGTATAGACAGGAGTAATTGTATTATTGACAAATGTATGTCCATTTACTATTGGACCCACCACTATGCCATTTCTCTCCTGTTCTATTGGTTTTCACATCAACTTTCTTTCGTTGTCCAGAAGCCAAAGGCACAATCTTAGTCATAGCAACCCATCATAGTTGTTTAATCGTTAGATTCCCTCTCTTTCTAAGTTTAACAGGTGCGCTGTTTAGAATGGTGTTTTCCTGCGAACTGCATTTTGTCAAATGTTTGAAAATTACGTTTTATTGGCTGCTTCATTACATGAGTTGCATGTTCTGTTAAGATGCATTACCATAATCGAAAGTATTTCATTCATTCTGAACACCGTGGGTGGACGCCCTAATGGGTTATATACCCAATGCAAATGGGTCTGGTACATTTCTCAAATGGACGCTAAATTAAAATCTTCTCAGTCACATTGTCCGGCACCACATTTTCCTAATGGAATCCCTGGTGCGTGTCCGTGTGTGTGTGTTCTTTCACAGACGAGATCCCTGTATGCTGGCTCTGACTCGGGGGTGGTGCAGTCTCCTACTGCGTTCTGTGACAAGTACCTTGCCTGTTCAGACTGCATCTTGACCCGGGACCCTTACTGTGCCTGGGACCCAGACACCTCCGCCTGTGTCAACATCTTCCACACCCAGGGCCTCACACACCGGTAACACTCATTTCATTATGGCATGATGATTATTAGCACAATGCAAAACCATAATGTGTTTTTACTGCCACTCAATGTAATCCAGTCCATCCTGTTTCTTCTGTCTACAAGCCTGAACGTTTATTTTTTTGTGTGACTAAAGTCAATGCCTGTCTCCTTCGTGATTCACAGTATGTCTACTTAATGTATTTTCTGTTTGTTTTTCAGGAACTTGATCCAGAGCCTTAACGGTGATGCAGACAAGTGTCCCTCAGGTATGTAACTAGCTATGCATCTTAACAGGTGTGGGAGCTTCTTTCTGTTGAATGTCATTTTAACATGTCTGAAGCACCTTCTGAAGCAACCCTCAGGGTTGACCAAAGTCTCAGGGAAGCATGGCAACTAGCTGTTTGCAGGAATAGAAGAAGCTGCAGTGCCAGTAGTGAAAAAATACACTCATTTAGGAAGGTCTTCATATTACTTTAGATTAGGTTAAAATGTGTTTGCCATTTGTAAGAAATACTCAGAGCTCTGATTTTATAAAATAGCAAGCAAGTTCAGGGCAGATGTATTAATACCACCCCTCTTCAGAAAGTAAACTCTTATTCTCTTCTCTCCTCCTCACAGTGCCTGGCCTTGCTGTGGAGGGCTACCAGCGTGTGACTGTTAAACCAGGGAGCTCAGCAAAGCTGCCGTGCCTCATTCAGTCCAATCTGGCCATGGTGGTCTGGAAGGTGAACGGCAAAACCCTGACCGAGGCCTCCAAGTTCTACCTGATAGGGGAGACGGGTCTGCTCATCTACAGCGTGGCCCCAGAGGACCAGGGCCTGTACGAGTGCTGGTCCCTGGAGTGGGCCCCCGTGGCAGGAAAGAACTTCAGTAGCCTCCTGGCTGGATATGCCCTTGATCTGGATGTCCCCAGGAGGCCGTCACCCAGAGGCCACCTCCCTCAGTCCGCCATCACCCTTAGCTCCGCCCACCCCAACCACCAGTCCACCGCCACCACTGAAGGTAATAACGGTAACACCGGGAGATCCTTCCCACTAACTTCAGCCCCTCCCAGCTCCACCGCCCTCACCTCACCACCACCCCCCCACAGTGCCTCGTCATCACTAACCATGCCCCCGAGCAGCAGCACTGTCAGGCTCCAGCCCAAGCTCCTCCCCCCCAGCTCTAGCGGCGCCCCACTCCCAGAGACCCCGGACCCGGCGACAGAGTACCTCCAACACGACAACAGCAGCACTCTGCTCTTCCTCTTCCTCCTCTTCTTCCTGCTCTTCCTGGCAGCCCTGGCCTACAACTGCTACATGCAGTATCTGCCTGGGCCATGTCTCCGTCTGCGTGCGGCTCTGCTGGGAAGCCACAAGAAGCCCCAGCCTGAGTACATAGCATGCGAGACCGGCCTCATGGAGCCTGTCACAGCAGAGAAGCTGGACCTAATGGACCAGATACACCTGAATCAGAACGGGGCACAGCCCCGAGCGCTGAGGGAAACTGGCTACGAGACAGAGCCAGAGTGTGACAATGGCAGGATCCCCTCTCACAGCTACGCGGGGGACGGAAGTGCTTCTAAAGAGATGCCCTTTGACGTGGACTGTGACTCGCAGCCTATTGAATATGCAGACGCAGATCTAGACGCATCACCGTAATGATACCTAGACATCTCAGCTTTCTAATTTCTATTAGCACAATAACTATTAAGTTAAGGCTTGTTATTTATAGGGGTCCTCTCCCTCATTGTCTTTCTCTACATAGAGTATATACAGTATATACACCTGTGTGTTATACATGAATGTACGCTCTCTCCACCTCTTTGAAAGTACAGACAGACAGAGGCTGATGACTTAAGTTATTAGGGGGTCAAGGTAAGTTGCACATCCCCTCTTGTTTTCAGAGATTCTCTTACTCTGCCCCACAATAAAAGGAATGACTAACTCAATATTGAAATCGTAGCTTAGTCTCTAGCTAGAAAAGTAGATACTTTTTTTTTTTAAATTCCAAATTGGAAACATTGTTTACCAAATTGGTAAGTTAACTTGATGTTTTCCAAATTGGAGCCTATTACTTGTTATTTTTGGTATAATGCTCATTTGTTGCATTTTATGCTCATTTGTTGCATTTTCTGCGTTTTCAATGAATAAGGCTATTTGATGTGTAGGAGCTGCTTTCTATCTTAACCTATAGTACGATCTGTAAATTCTCAGGGACAGTTAGTTTGTTCCTTCAGTATACCTACACTGAGTGTACAAAACATTAGGAACACCTTCCTAATATTGAGTGGCACGCCCGTTTGCTCTCAGAACAGCCTCAATTCGTTGGGGCATGGACTCTACAAGGTGTCAAGCATTCCATAGGGATGCTGGCTCATTTTGATTCCAATGTTTCCCTCAGTTGTGTCAAGATGGCTGGATGTCCTTTGGTTGGTGGACCATTCTTGATACACACGGGAAACTGTTGAGTGTGAAAAACCCAGCTGCGTTGCAGTTCTTGACACGCTCAAACCGGTGTGCCTGGCACCTACTACCATACCCCATTCAAAGGCACTTACATTTTTTGTCTTGCCCACTCACCCTCTGAATGGCACACGTACACAATCCATGTCTCTGGCTTTAAAATCCTTCTTTAACTTGTCAAATCCTCATCTAAACTTGAAGTGGATTTAAGGGATCATAGATTTCACCTGGATTCGCTTGGTCAGTCCGTCGTGGAAAGAACACGTTCCTAATGTTTTGTTCACTCAATGTATAGCTTCATTGAACTAAATGTTGTGCATTCTCACACAATACGGTAAAAGGTACGTAGCTAAAGAGACAAAACCAACGGTGGCAAGCGACTGAATGTGAGTGTAAAGAGGCGTGGCACGACTGTGGCACGAGATCTATAGAAAGACAACTAGTCTCTTTCCTTACATGTTTGACAAGGACAATATGAAAACAGAGGCTGTATTATGCTACGATGGAATAAATCAAAATGATGAAATGAGTGATTGTGACTCACTGCTGTCTGAAGCGCACAGACCTCTCCAGAGCTACACTGCTCAATTCCAACTCTGTTTCTCTTAATCTACTGTGAATCCACAATTCCAATGGTACGAAGACGTGAAATCTGGGGTCATATTTACTAGACATGATCTTTCTCCATATTAACCTTTGTTGGTTTGTTTTCCCCACTGGTGAAATGCACATAAATATGTAAAGTATGAGATTATGCTTCGCTAATGCTAGATGCTGTGTAGAAAGAAACCAGTGAAATAATTTAAGCATTTCTGTTTTCATTGTCCTTTAAAAATGGGCCCTGGAAGCAATCAGATGTTTATTTAATGAAGCTTAAGATTGCGTATTTAAAGATGATGATTATTTTATCTTTAGCTTAGTAATGTTATGTTTTTCATTTCACTGGATTTATAGGTTCACAAAGCTTCTTTAAATAGTTAGACCTATAGCCTCCCCTCCTGTGTCTCTGTCTGTTTCACACATTTCTTTTCCTGCCTGGCTGTTGTCCTTAGAGAACTCTTTCTCTCCTCCATCACTCCCTCCCTCCCTCTCCCCACCTCTTCCCTCTCTCCTTCACAGCCTCTTCCTCCACTGTTCCTCTTCTCTCTCCTGTTGACACCTCATCATCCCTGTCCACCTCAGGAAGTAGGCCCTCTCTCCCTCCTTCCTCCACTACCACCTCCTCCGAGGGGGTAGGGGTACGGCTGCTGCCCCCCTCCCTCCCGGACCAGGCTTGGGGGGTTCAGGCCCAGGAGGCCTTCCTGCTCTTCTGTGTGGCCTTGGGTGAGTGGTGCCTGTTGTGACCCATGTGTTTCTGTCTGTCTCACTTCGCACCTTGCATGTGGCCTCCCTCAGAAACACATCAACAAACCCCTACCTACCTATCTACCTACCCTAACCTGGAATGTGTTCAGATCCTCAAAACAAGTGTGTACTTCTGGTCCTCTTTAAATCCAATAGGATGACGGGACAAAACTGAACAATAATGTGATGACTTTTGGTTTAGAACAGATAGACAGATGTTTTTGTTTTGATAAAAAGGTACAGTAGAGATCAGGTCACTGAACTCTGTATTTGATGAACTTGTCTCAAAAGGTTTCGGTTCCATTCTTTTCTTTTTTGTAAACATTTTGCAAATGTTTTTATATTTTGTTATTGGCAAATCTGAGCTGAGACTTGTCATATATTTAATTGGAAATGAGGCAAGGAGAGCCCAAGTGTTCAACTAATTTCACATGAGAATGATGTCTCTTTATAAGAACAAAGGATTTAAAAATATATAACTTTTTAAGCTCAATGTGTCAATTACTGAGTTTCAAAACTTTCTTATACTGGAACTTTTTGAAGATGTACATAATCCACCCATACATTCTGGGGCTACTGTTGGTAGGGAGATTTAATAAATACTGATTTCAAATGTTTTGAACATAGCTTGGCTTTAACATTAATAAACAAACAAGTAGGCTAACTGGTTCAAGGTTACATTATACACACGAATGTGAGATGTACGTAGCCTACTGATTACTATGATGTAAATTTAGTCTGTCATTTTGAAAGATTTTTTGACACTGAAAAACAAACAAATTAGATACTTTTTTAGGTCCAATGCAGCCATTTTTATCTCGATATTAAATAATTTCTGAGTAACAATTAAGTACCTTACTGTGATTGATTATTTTCAATTAAATTGGTCAAAAAGAAACAAAAATAGCTTCTTAGCAAAGAGTAATTTCTCAAGCAAGAATTTTGCTAGAACTGTTTGGGAGTGGTCTGTGTGAGGCTAATTGGAGCCAAATGGGAGGGATACTTAACCTGAACTAGCTGTTTATTGACAGAGCAGTTTCACTCTCTTTAGTATTGGTCCATTTACTTATACCGCCTGGTGATGTTTCCAGGCAGGCCAAAACTCCGTCCCACCAAAACAGGCAAAAACGTTCAGGTGGCTTTTCAAACAGCTCTTACACTAAAAGGGCATTTATTTTCTAAATTTCAAAGTATTATCCCAACATCATGGTGTGGAAATATACACTGGGGCCAGTTTATTGGCTACACCCATCTAGCCTGTACCGTTGACACCAAGCAGGAAAGGGCCATGGACTCATGCTGCTTACGCCAAATCCTGACTCTGCCATCAGCATGACGCAACAGGAACCGGGATTTGTCGGACTAGGCAATGTTTTTCAACTCCTCAATTGTCCAGTGTTGGTGATCGCGTGCCCACTGGAGCCTCTTCTTGTTTTTAGCTGATAGGAGTGAAACCCAGTGTGGTCGTCTGCTGCAATAGCCCATTCATGACTAGGACCGATGAATTGTGTGTTCTGAGACGTTGTTCTGCACACTTCTGTTGTACTGTGTCGTTATTTGCCTGTTTGTGGCCCGCCTGCTAGCTTGCATGATTCTTGCCATTCTCCTTTGACATCTCATCAACAAGCTGTTTTTTCGCCATTCTCGGTAAATCCTAGATACAGTCTTGGGTGAAAAGCCCAGGATGCTAGCTGTTTCTGAGATACTGGAACCGGCGTGCCTGGCACCGGTGATCATACCACGCTCAAAGTCGCTTAGGTCACTCATTTTGCCCATTCTAATGTTCAATCGAACAGTAACTGGATGCCTGTCTGCCTGCTTTATATAGAAGGCCACATTACTCACGGTCTGTAGGAGCGAATCATTTTCGTGAACGGGGTTGTGTACCTAATAAACTGGCCACTGAGTATATAAAACACAGGAACAGAGTGCAGGCCATAATTTGAAAATGTCGGCAGTCGCGCTGAACCATCAGCAGACTAATGCTAATATAGATCCACATTCGGTGCGATGTGTGCGAGCCTTAAGGGATGCCTGATGAAGATTCCTTTCTGTGCTGTGGTTGTTTTCTTTAGTTTGATCCATATCTATGTCAGGTATTTCTATTATAGCTATTATAGCTGACCCAGGTCATTTGAGGTTATAGCTTGAAATTGGTGTGCCTCCACAGCAGTTAAGGTGAAAAAGCACACACATGATCTACGGAAATGAAACCTTCAATAAACCGCAGACTTTCATTTCTCTCTCTTTCTTATCTATCTGCTTCATGTCATGATAACTGACAGTAAACCAGTTTAGGCTGAAACCAGAACAGTATAGCATCACTACGATAGTAAGTGGCTAAGGAGATTAGCTGGAGAAACATAAGGCTGGTTTCCTGGACAAAGATGAAGCCTAGTCCTGGACTAAAAAGCATGTTCAATGAAGATTCTCCATCCGAGGTACATATGAAGTCCCATTATGTCCCTCAGGTCCCAGTGATCTCCACATTCACTGGCAGGTGAACGGTGCCCGCCTGGAGACACCCGTCACAGAGTACCGCCACTCCCTGAGGGGCCAGGGCCCTGAGGTGCTGGTGAGCAGCTGGGTGAGAGAGGGTGCCCTGGTCAAGGACTCCAGCTACCAGTGTGTTGCTGCGTCCAGCGTAGGAAATGACGCGTCTAAAGTCGACCTCAACCTCATCAGTAGCGGTAGGGCTTGCTGGGACAGCTACATCTTAACTTTGTCCTATCTATCTATTGCCTTAAATCTGTGGGGCTGTTTCCTGGGCACAGATTAATCTTAGTCCTGGACTAATAATTAAGATTATTAATTGACCATGCTTTTTAGTCCAGGACTAGGCTTAATCTGTGTCCAGGAAACCACCCCCATAAACTCCTGCCTGCATGACTGAAAGAGTCCTGAATGAGTCCTCGTATAGCCTGATGTCAAATGATGCAGTAAATTCCAGAAAATCCATGCCAACACTTATTATTAACAAGGACAGCCAAACACACATTACCAGGGTTGTGTTCGTTATGGCACACAACATAAATTTTTTTGCAAGTCCAGATGGTAGTCCTTCCCCGTTTCAGTCCGTTTTCCGACTAATGAACACAACCAAATACTCTGAACTGATTTTACAGTCAAGTGTCAACTAAGTTTTTTGTTGATAAACAGAGGAAGACCGTATTCCATCCAGAGACATGAGCCAATGGAGGGGTGCCCTCTCAGAACATGAAAAACTGCTAAAGAGGTGGAAAAGAACTTGGGTAGGTTTATATTCACTAAGCACCAAATAGTTCTGAAAGTGAATTTAGATTAGGGTGTTTTGTGTGTGTCACAACTTTAATCTTTGATTTACATCTTATTCAAATAATACCACGAAACTGCAGTGCAACTAAAGATATTTGAATTTTAAAAAATCTAGAATAATGTTGAAAAGTACATTTGATAAAAGCTTCTTAACTCTGCCTGGGTGTGTGCATGACAGATTACATAATACACATGATTTAGAAGCCATCCTGAACCACCCTAACTTTTCATGCCAACTTTTGATGGTTAGGGCCGGGGGTAAGTCGTTTGAACATTGTGCTCTGTTTTTTAATAGCTCAGAGCACTACAGAGGTGCAATGTCTATATTTTACCAATGAATGCCAGTGAATCAGGAAGTAAAAATCACATACTTCTACACAGTTCAACAATAGAGTACCACAGTATGAGTCATAATACCCATAAAACCTAGCGGTCAAACAAGGAAATGGTTCCAATCATTTTTCCACCATTACTTTTTCCCCATAGGGGATTTTAGAAAGACTTAAAATAAGGGCTGTGTTTTGTGTAGGCTTACCCTGGCTTGACGTTTTGATAAGTGTAAATCTCTCTAGGACAAGGGGACTTTTTCAATATTTTCGCCTGTATTTACCCCCCAAAAATGAAACGCTAATTAGCTGCTAATGTGGCTATCATAAAGAACTACAAATGCCATGATGGTCTGGATGAGACTGCCGACTCGAGGCAAAGGTAAGAATTTGTATTGAATAAATTGGCTACATTTCTTTAAATTGACAATTCTGTGAACTGTCTTGTGCAAGTTTTAAATTGACACAATACCTGTTAGCAAAGGTGTCAGCTAGAGATGACGTGCAGGAGCTTGCAGGGATTTGTAGTCTTGCATGTCCCTGACCAAGACCCTTCTCCCCCGATTGCTCAGTTTGGCCGGGCGGCCAGCTCTAGGAGGAGTCTTGGTGGTTCCAAACTTCTTCCATTTAAGAATGATGGAGGCCACTGTGTTCTTGGGGACCTTCAATGATGCAGACATTTTTTGGTACCCTTCCTCAGATCTGTGCCTCGACACAATCCTGTCTTGGAGCTCTACGGACAATTCCTTCGAGCTCATGGCTTGGTTTTTGCTCTGACATGCATTGTCAACTGTGGGACCTTATAGAGACAGGTGTGTGCCTTTCCAAATCATGTCCAATCAATTGAATTTACCACAGGTGGACTCAAATCAAGTTGTAGAAACATCTCAAGGATGATCAATGGAAACAGGATGCACCTGAGCTCAATTTTGAGTCTCATAGCAAAAGGTCTGAATACTTATGTAAATAAGGTATCTGTTATTTATTTGTAATAAATTTGCTAACCTTTCTAAAAACCTGTTTTTGCTTTCTCATTATGGGGTATTGTGTGTAGATTGCTGAGGATTATTTATTTTTTCATCCATTTTAGAATAAGGTTGTAACGTAACAAAATGTGGAAAAAGTCAAGGGGTCTGAATACTTTCTGAAGGCACTGTACATGGTTATCAAAACGTCATGCCAGGGTAAGCCTACACGAAACACAGACCTTATTTTAATTGTTTCTAAAATTCCCTATGGGAAAAAAGAATGGTGGCAAAAAACGATTGGAACAATTTCCCTGTTTGACCGCTAGGTTTTATGGGTATTTCGACACCTCCACTGTGGGGCTCTATTGTAAACTATTTGTCACGGCACATAAATGAGTTCAACCTGTCTAAGGGTCGCGTTCAAAACAATGTTTACATTTGACCAGCTGGCTAGTGTTTCCATTGACCGATAGTACACCTTCAGCATTCCTCACCAGCCCCATTTCAACTGTTGTAGCTTGCTTTAGAGGGAGTGCAAACTGTGAGCTTAAATGAAATAGTGAGTGCTTTATGATCTGGATTCTCTCCTGTGTGTATTTCTTATAGGAAAACTGTGATGGACAAGGAGCTCTCTGAGGTGTGCCTGAGCTTTACTGTAAATATCTACGGTCAATACTGCTCAATATCCAGGCTTCAGCCAAGGTGACCCTACCTGATCTTGGTCCAAAGATGTCACATCATGACGTTACATGGCAAGTTTCTCGCCGTTGGACACCTGAAGCAAGGCTTCAACATCAGGCTTCTGTTCTGCAGTGTTCACATGTTGTGGCGGTAGCATCAAATATATTCTATAATGTTACAGGCCCTTGATACAGGCTTTGGTAGTGTATGTTTCTTCCCCCTGACTGACTAAATGGTGACTGGGCAGATTGGTTGACTTTGATGTTCACACTTTATTTCTTTACTGTAGTAGCTGTGTTAATCTGTCTTTCATAGTGGTCAGCTGTTACAGATGAGATTGAGATGTTTTGTTAAGATTAATATATTTTAAAGTATGTGAATATAAGGTTTGTTTTGTTTTATTGAGATTACTATGTTACCGGTATGTCTAGAATATATCCCCCTTGATTTCTAAATCAAAAGGAGAGTTGATCTCTTTGTTTTGGCATTACAGTGCAACATAATATCAATACCAGTACTTTACCGGATTAACCAAAGAGTTTACTATTAAACTGTCAATAAATGCACACACATCAAAGAGTGCACAGACATAAATGTAACCACAAAACAGAAAAGGTCTCCACTCCATAGAGAATTTCAATAGTTTCAGATTGCTGAATAAATGCAGTGTTGTAGCCAATTAGTGATTTCAGATTACTTTATTTTTGCCTACAGATTACAAATATGTTTTCTACATGCCATTATGTGGTCAGTTAAGTTCCTAACTCTTGTCACTGTATGTGGTCTGTTAAGCTCCTAACTCTTGTCACTGTAATGTTTAATTCCATGTGTGGTTCGTATGACAAAATGTGTGAAAATAATACAATTAAATGTAACTTGATGGTGGAACTTGATGTTGCCTTATTAATTGCCCATCATACTGTGTTCTTCATGTAATGGCCACGTTTGACGGCAGTGAAGTGCAGTTCAGATATTTGATATTTGAATGCAATTCAGATATGTCAGTGGTACTGTATCAGTGTCAGGCCTTTGTGACATTTCGGCTATGAAGGACAGAGCAGTGCCCACACATCAATTTAGCATCCAAATACGTTCTACCATGATGACATCAAAGCAGCACTTCTCCACAGGACCAGATTCTTTGGTTTAATTATTAAGTAGCACCTACAGGTGGGCTAGGCCTCCCATATATTGGTCTGATTCATAGGTCAGCCTCCACGGTGGCTTACAGCCTGGCATCTACAGTGATATGGCAAAGACAATATGACAGAAGTATAGTAACATGATAGGCTACCCTTTAGGTGAGATTATTGATAGCCAAGTGCCAGTCTGTTTTTTCCCTCTAGCCAACTCCGTATTGTCATGCCATAAGGAATTGGCAAGAGAGCAGAAACACTCCAAAGTATCCATCAGCAGTAACACTTGGCCATCTAGTGGCAAATTATCTGAATATCTAGAGACAACCCTATAACGACTCTCAAACTTCAAAGTGGCGTATCTTGTGTAATGCAAAATGCTACTTTGTTTCTATATACTGTTTGTTTATTTGTGTGTAGGCCTACACACATCAATATTGGGGGGGGGGGGGGGGGGGGGGTGATGCTAAAACACCCCCAAAAGAGAAGGGGGCGCTAATTAATAGCCTTGCGAAGTAAAAGAGTCCCCACTTTAAATCTTCAACATACCTCTGACTTATTAGTGTAGCTTGAGAAAGCAGCCACACTTTAAATAATGTACCAGTTATTTCTGACTTTTTATTAATGTGGCTTGCGCACACTTTAAATGATTGTAAGAATTATGCAAAAGCAGCCACACTTTAAAGTGGAACTGACAGCGTTTTAAATACTTGGCAGATATGAAACAAACAGACAATCATAATAGCAGTCAACAATATCTAATTCCCATTTTATGCTACAAAACCAACTTTATAAGAGGTTTTAAAAATAGGTTCTATTTGACTAGAAATTCCATGACGTACACTAAGACATTGTTGGCAGAATAGATGGATGCAGTTCAATGCATGATTAATATAATTCACTAATACATTTGTTGGTAGTCCAACAAAAATTTCTATCAGGTTGTAAATCACAGCTGGCCTGGTACATTGTTTGCTTCCTCCAGCCATTCGGGATGCACTGTTTCACTTGCAATGACTCAATATTGTAATGATCTGGCTAGAACATAAATGAGCAATTGTCCAGACAGAGGTTTGAGTTTACGAATTCCCGGTTAATTAACCAAACTCAACACAGGCTACTGTTTGGCCGTAGCCCACGCCAAATAAATCAAGGATACTCGTATAAAACAACCATGACCATCTCTTGTTAAGACCAGATGAAAGTGAGAGAACAATGGCTAAGCATGGTCTTAAACTTACGATGCTCCAAACCTTTATCAACTATAACAATATATAGTGCCTTCAGAAAGTATTCGTACCCCTTGAAATGTTCCACATGGATTAATAATGGATTAAATATATAACTTTTTTCTACACACAATACCCCGTAATGACGAAGTGAAAACATGTTTTTAGACATTTTTGCACATTTTTGGAAATTAAATACAGAAAAATCAAATTTACATAAGTATTCACACCCCTGAGTCAATACATGTTAGAATCACCTTTGGCAGTGATTTATTAGCTGTGAGTCTTTCTGGGTAAGTCTCTAAGAGCTTTGCACACCTGGATTGTACAATATTTGCACTTTACTTTTTACAATTCTTCAAGTTCTGTCAAGTTGGTTGTTGATAATTGCTAGACAGCCATTTTCAAGCCATGCCATAGATTTTCAAGCCGATTTAAGTCAAAGCTGTAACTAGGCCACTCAGGAACATTCAATGTCATCTTGGTAAGCAACTCCAGTGTATATTTGGCCTTGTGTTTTAGGTTATTGTCCTGCTGAAAGGTGAATTTGTGTGCTCAGTGATAGGGTTGAATGGTGGGAACCCGATTATCGAGATTTACCGTGATTTACCACCCAA